GTCATCGCCATCCGGCTTCAGTCTTGCTGACTGCCGGGTGGTCCGCGAAGACTCAGGAACAGTCCGAGGATGCCGAGGACGCCGAGTGCGAGGGGTCTCTGGATTTTGTGAGACCGCACTGGCGTTTGCGCTCTCATTTTCCTCATGGAGATCATCCGAATCAGCTTGTTGAATTAGTTTGAGTGAAGGAATTTTGAATTTGATGATACGCGAGCGAACTTCTGGTCCGCTTGGTGATTCAGAAGGAAGACGACCAGGGAGACTGGCGCGGCCACGGCCGCGACCACGTCCTCGGCCTCGACCTCTTCCACGAGTAGTGGGAATTGCAATGGTATCTATACATAGGGTCAGAGATTGGACCGATAGGGCAAACCTGTATGAACTTACCTTGTGCAGTTCGCCCAGATCGCGTAGAAATACTAGGAGTCCGGGCAACAGGCTGTGCAGCCGCGCGATTTTTCCTTCTTCCCACCATCGCTGTTGTCTTGAGGAAAATCAGTTTTTGAACAGGGGAAAATCCAGTGACAGCAAGGGGGGAAATCAGGGAGGGAAAGTTGAATAGATCGAAGAAGACATCAAAATTTCAAGAACGTTTCATGAATACAGTTCAAAGGGGGAAAATGGTAGTAGAAAAAGGGAAAAAAAAGTACACGCGAATTGACCAAATGCAGAAAGGAAACGTCACTGTTGGTAGCAGTGGAAAAAAGGCTTGGCAGGGAAAAGCGCGAAGTAGACATAAAACACGCGATCAAAGTTCAGATCAGAAGATCAAGAATCCTAAAGATCCCAAAAGATCTCAAAGGTTCAGAGGTCCCAGTCCAAAGAAGCCAAGATCAAGGAGACAGGGTTTTAGGGGAAAATAAAGTGTGGGGGGGGAATTGCAAGGGGGAGAGGATAAACGCCTCAAAAGATTCATGAATCACTTACCAAAGCGATGGATAAGGGAAAAAGATGCGAAGTAAAAAAGGAAAAAGGCAGAGATCTACTGCAGGATTTGACCGGGTGGATGGGGAAACGGGGCCAAGTAAAAAAAAACGGGGGAGAACAGGGTAAAATAGAAGCAGAACAGGTGTAGAAGTCACAAGGGACACGAGAATATGAAAATGATTAAGAAACTTGAAAGTAGAAAAGTAGAAGTCGAAAAGTAGAGAGAAGATGGAGAAAGGAAAAAAAGAGTCGAGGTAGAAGAGAAGAAGAAAGGGAAAAGGTCAAAACAAGTTGATTATGGGAGAAGCTGAACCTTGGATTCTTCCCAATATATAACGGTCTATAACATAACAATCTAATCACTTTCAAATTCTCTATTCAAATCTATTCTACCAAAGCATTGTTCTTATTCTTAGCTCTATTCGTCTGTCTATTCAGATCGATTTTTCCGCTCGGCGGAGGCTCGGGAATAGCCACAATAGCACAATATAGCATTCAACCTTGAATAGACTTATTCACCTCTCTAACTTCTGCCTAGGAATAAGTGTATACTACTGTCATGTACCCCATATGTGTATCTCCGATCCCCCAGCCACTTCCGGCACACAAGTACCGGAGTATTTGGGAGTATTTGGATGATTAGTCTACGTGTCTAGATGGCTTATATTGTCTGTCTTCTCTCTGCCTTGTGCATATACGTATTCATATTCAGTATAATATTATATTCTTTGTTCTATATTCTCTTCTATATTCTATTCTATATTCTATCCTATATTCTAACTATCTATACTATCCTCCCTACAGAAAAAAATATACGGACCCACTTAGTCCAGGAGTAACAACGCATGCGGACTTGCAATGTACAGTACAATCAATGTTATTGGCTAACACAATGATTATGAGCATTTCCAGGAATATACTACAGAGTATGCAGTATGCAGTACTATTTTGTAATATCTTCAATATTAAAGAATTGTCCTTAGTGACTACTATCGTATATAAAGCCTTTCTTTTTTGCCACAGGGCTATCTAGTATGAATAACATGGAAAGTCAACTCAGTATAGAGTAAAAACATTTCAAGAGACTTCCAAGTATCATCCAATCCATTTAACAAGAAAATATAAATGGTAAATTAAGCACATTGCTACACCACTCCAATATATACTGTATATTCACCGCTCATATATGCAACCACAACTCATTTCAAAAATATCCAATTATACCATCCATTCCCTATTTACACAAAAAGTATGGATATCCAATCATCCACCCATCATGTACAAAAAAAAGCAAAAAAGTCAGAAGAAAAAAAGAAAACATTGCAAGTCATGCAGATCACGATGTACCAAACGGTAGATCAATCACTTTTCATAAGGGGATTCGTTCAAGTCATATCTTTTCTCAGAAGGCGAATGCACAAAACTACCTCGAGTCGGAGTCATCCTAGGGCGGAGTGTCTCCTCCGACTCTGGCAGCGGGGAAGGCGAACGCATCGCCTGGTCACGGAGGGAGCGGGCAGATCTCATGCGCGTGATCGTCCCCGCTGTAAGGGTCTGCCCCGCGCTCGGTGAGGCTTTTACCATTGTGCCCGGGGCAAAGGTTGGAGATGGACAGGGGCTTGTTGATCGAAAGAGAGGGTGGATGTTGTCCTCACCGAATGGGTTGTATTCCCACGTTGAGCTGTTGGAGCCGGACTGTGTTGGGGAGTCGAGGCGGATTGTTGATGCTGTTGGTGAGGGCATTGATGGGTGTACTAGACTGTCTAAAGAGAGTGCGGTTGGTGTGTTGCGGCGCAGGCTAGGCATGCTGCGGATGCTGTGGGTACCTTGAAGGAAGGGGCGAGTGTCCCGGTCTGGGAACGTGTCTGGCCTTCTATCCTGTGTTGGGGATGGGCTTGGTGAACTGTGGGTAGATGATGTCGTGTCGATGGAGGCGTTTTTCCCTTCCTTTGTGCTTGAAGGACAGAGTGTTGCGTCTGAGTAGCGGCTGGACCGCCGAGGGAATTTGCGAAGTGAGGATCTTTTAGGCTCGAATAGATCGGACAAATCGCACACTAGAGGAGGGGATGGAAGATAATTTGGGGTTTGCGGGATATCCTTGAGCTCTTGGGAGTAGGCACGCGGCCATTCAGGATTGGGTTTCTCCTGGGCTAGTGTCGTGGCAAAGAATCCGCAGTACAGGCCTTGTGCGAACACTGATAGTGCCCAGAACACAGAACGAACCACAAATACCGAGGCTTGAGGACTCTTTGCTATTGTTCCAGCAGATGCCGCAGCGGCAATAAGTAGATATCCACCGGCGGAATAGATCAATTGTCGGCGGCTGGTTTGTATACTTTGGTGGTGCAGCAGACCGAGGGCAATCAAAGCCACGACGCTCACTGCACTTAGGATAGTCGAGGCCACATCAGGCGAGGCTTTTGAGGTTGCGTAACAGATACCATTAAGAATGGTGACAATGAATGTTGTGAGCAAGGAGGCTGCCGCCAGTGAGTAAGATAGGCGAGACATGATAATGGAAAAGAGAAAAAGACTTGACGAAAGAATGGCCTGGAAGTATATCAAAAGAGGGTATGAGAGTAAGAGAGTGTGTGGATGTCAAATGTTGGCAGACTGCCAATCCAAGACGTTTATCCAATGCACGCAATGAATGTGAAGGAATCTGCCGACTTCATGAGAGGAAAGATGTTCATATTTATGAGTTGGGCATGTGTAGAGAGCCCTGGAGGGTTGCAACACGGGACGGGCGATGCGGATCTCAGCGTGGCTTAAAAGTATATCGGGGAAGCTGCCCGTCTCAACCTGTCGATTTTTCCCAGAGATCGGCCTGATCCATCCTTCCGGCATGATGGTTAGAGTCTACAGATAAGAATCGGCTTGACAAGGATAATATCGATTGGCTGAGACAGAGAGATCCCGCTGGAGATGCATAATGTGTGTGGATATTGGCAATTGTCGCCTTTCCATTGAGGCGAAGCGATTGGGCCTAATTCTGGGGTAGGGCCCTGCCAGTCTAGACCCGTCATGCAGAGTAGAAACCTTGCAATCCGATAATTTGGTAAATCTCACTAACAATGGCGCTATTTATCTGATCCATCAGTCTGGTGGCGGATCTTCTCTCGATCCCAGTAGTGTAGACCGGATGTGATGTATCTCTCTCCCCCTTGCAAGGGAAAATCTCCGCTGGATTTCGGTTAGACCAGAGCTAAGTATAGTGTAAGTTCAGGCAAATTCAAAATTGCACTTTGTATTTGTGTACTTCGTAGATTTTATAGATCCATATTCTATACCGAGTAGACGGGATATCATGACCTGTCGTGCAGGATGTATGGAGTATATAGTTTGGATTGTCTACCTGTGATTCGGTCAATTTCTTCAATGTTGCGTGAAGACATTTGACGCATGCAATTGATATAATTTGTCAAATTTAATTAATAGATTGTGTATTTTGTGGATTTCACATATGCATCATCTTGTGTGGGTACAATATGTGCAATGTACAACGTCCGTGCTACTTACTTGCGAGGCAATAGTGGCGCTTAATACTGGGTTATATAGGAGTTCAAAGTGCTGAGGATTCTTTCTCCAATGGTAATACCATCTGGGGACCCAAGTTGGACACAGATCTGCATCTCCGGCCTATTGACTCTCGATGTCTGTCTGAGATGTTGTCATCGAGGCGCCAACAGGCAACTAGCTTGGAATCAAATCGGGTAGGTAGACCTGAACCCATTCTATAGGCATATGTGCACCGTATGGAGAGTGAGCTGTGCACAAAAACAACAATAATAGCCTAATTAATATCAAGATCTTTGAAAATGTTGAAAGTTGCCCTGAGAAGTTGTCTGGTAGAGAGGATAGTGGCGGTAAATCCGAAGGCGGTCACCGTACTCGTTTGCTATCGTCGTCACTCTGAATACTCCCCTCCTACTTTCTTTTCATTCTCTTCGACTTTTCTTCGACTTTATCGCTGAGAGGATCCTTTACATCAACTACTCCTTCTTTCTCCTATCCCAATCCGCCATATATTCTCCCTGCCCCTTTTCTCACTGGTTTTACTTAAAAGCGGCAAAATGAAGCTCACTTTCAAGGTACGAAATCTTGCCTTCGGGGCTCTCACAACCACAGATTGCTGACAATCATCGACCACAGGACCTGAAGCAGGAGAAGTTTGTTATCGATGTCGAACCTTCTGAGACTGTACGTTTGTTCCCTTTGCTACAACTAGGCAGCGTCATCGAGTGCGGGGCTCATCTATTTAGGTTCGCGAGGTCAAGGTCAAAATCGCCCAAGAGAAAGGCGAATATGAGGCAGAGCGCATGAAGGTCATCTACTCCGGTTCGTATTTCCTCTCCTGATAGACAAATTCTCCATCCACGGTGCTGTGGCTAACCATCGCTTTTTTCTCTTTGTAGGAAAGATCCTTCAGGATGACAAGACAGTCGAATCTTACAACATCCAAGAGAAGGACTTCCTAGTGTGCTTGCCTTCAAAGGTATGGGATAAACCTTGTCTATGAGTTCCGATGACCGAGCCCAAACTAATGGATTGATGCTCAGCAACCCAAGGCCGCCGCCTCCACCGCTTCCTCACAAGTTCCCTCGACCCCAGCTGCCCGAGCTCCTGTGTCAACACCCGCTGCTCCCGCGGCTCCTCATGCTGCCTCTGCGCCTCCCCCTTCTGCCATCCCCGCGACCCCCTCCCCGGCCGGTGCGACTCCAGCTCCATCGAGCGGTCCTGCCTTCGGAGATCCTTCCGCTCTCACCATGGGCTCTGCTGCTGAGGGAGCGGTTGTCCAGATGGAGGCAATGGGATTCGCACGCACTGATATCGACCGTGCCATGCGCGCTGCATTCTACAATCCTGACCGTGCCATCGAATACCTTCTGACCGTAAGCTTTTGTTGGAAGTTACACCTTGAATCTTTGCTAATGATCGTGACAGGGTATCCCCGATAACATCCAGGAACAACAACAACAGCGACAAGCCTCGGAGCCAGCCCCTACCGGTGCTGCCCCTGCTGCTCCCGCCGCTCCTTCCGGTGGCGATGAGCCGCACCTGAACCTCTTCGAAGCTGCCGCTCAGGCCGGCGGTGAAGGTGGTGGCCGGTCTCGCGGTGCTGCTGGTGCCGGCGCTGGTGCCGGTGCCGCTGGTGGCGAAGCTCTCGGCAGCCTGGAGTTTCTCCGCAGCAACCCCCATTTCCAACAGCTTCGTCAGCTTGTCCAACAGCAGCCTCACATGCTCGAGCCCATCCTGCAACAGGTCGCCGCTGGGAATCCTCAGATTGCATCAATGATCGGACAGAACTCCGATCAATTCCTGCAGCTTCTAGGCGAGGAACTCGAGGACGAGGAGGGTGCTCTCCCACCCGGCGCACAGGCTATCTCGGTTACGGAAGAAGAGCGCGATGCCATTGAGCGTGTATGTTGAGACCTCCCTTCTATCTCATAATTTTATAACTAATCCACAACTAGCTGTGCACTCTGGGCTTCCCCCGCGATTCCGTCATCCAGGCCTACTTTGCCTGCGACAAGAACGAGGACCTCGCCGCCAACTTCCTCTTCGATCAGCCTGATGAGGATGAGCAGTAGAGAATCCAATGTTCTCTCTCGACTTCTTTTCTTCCTCCCATACTTCTCCCCTTTAACGTTATGTTCTATGATGAATACCAAGCATGCTGCTGTTTGAATTGATTCCCATCTCTCCTCACTCCGGATCCCTTTCTATGAATACGAATCAGTGCTCAGCTTGGCGTCTCTGAGTTTCTGCTTGCTGAGTATGGACTTGGCTTCTTTCCATCCCGGATTCTCCCTCTCCCCCATCACGCCTGTTATGTATTTACCTTAATGGGCAAAATGGGACCTGTTCGCTTACATATAGAGTATGTGAGTAGTTTGTGTAAGACTGTAGGGATAGGTGGCGAACTTGGATATGGTCATCTGGAATGGTGTGGTTTTCATTGGTGGTCACGCGCATTTTATATGCAGGTAGACATGTGCAGATGACCTGCGAATGGAATGTATATATCTGCATGATTGGAGAAGTCTATATCCACTCGGGACTTGGAGCCGCCAGGCCCAAATCCTCAGAGTAATATATCCCCACACAGCATTTCTAGTTACTTGTATGTCGTGCCGAGGCCTCTCAATACTGTCTTGATCTGTATAGCCCTTATCGCTCCTTATCGGATATCCCTTTTATGGTCCGTGGACAGGTATTTTTGCGTGTCTCCTGAGATCCTCTTTATATATGTCTTGTTGATGTCTATTTCCCCTATGATAGATCATACCAGCTGACCAGCCTAGACAGGAATGAAAAGTCAATAAATAAATTGGACCAGTACTACTTACATATGGGTAGAGGTAAGTACAAATAGACTAGAACCCCAAAGATACCAACTCGACGCCCATCCCCAATGCAAAAGGTATCTTATGGACCCAGTAACCCTAAAATGCACCGAAAATATCCAGAGAAAAAGAAAAGAGATATTGCAGTCCATATCCAAATGAGAATATACTTCCCAAATACCGAAGATGAACAAAATACAACGCCCCATCCATGAAGATAGTACGTCCATGCACATGCAAAAGCAGAAGATTATTTGCAAGATCTCCGCACAGACCAAACACCCAGCCCACGACGCCCAACAACCCGTTTCAGGGTCGGCAGGATCCCGTCTTCGCCAATGTCCATGTCATCCAAGTTGAGGTGTTTGCGGTACGACCAAAGTGGATAGAGCTGTAAGTTCAGATCTTGGCTCTGACGCGCAGACACGTCGTATGGGTCTAGGAAAGCGGCTGATATAGGCGCGACTAGGAACACAGAAGATGGGTTCGAGCAGCTGGGTACAACCTCCTCCAGCTGAATCATCATCTCCACACCTGACATCCCCATGAGATCCATTGTCTGGATCTCCGTGGAGTGGTTGTCCCCACCGAGAAGCCACAGCGGCGGTGAGTATGTCTTCCACCAGAACACAGTCGCGGAGGGTATGTGGTGTATAGTGCTGGACGTGACAATGTCGCGCATTGCTAGCTGCGTGGGGACGACGCCGCCTTGGTGGTACACGCCCATAAGGAAGCCCATGGCTGCGTTGAATATGACCCACACGACGAGGAGGAGGCGGGAGCGGAGCATGGGGACACAACTGAGGAGGAGGGGCACAGCTGGGAGGAGGAAGCGTGGTTCTTGGTGCGGGAAGAGGGAGAGAAGCATCGTTGCGGAGAGCGCGGATAGGGCGCGCACATTGCGCATCCAGTATGGTACCACCAGTGGCCAGTTAAAGAGGGAGGCTAGCATTGCTATGTAGGCTGGGCCGAGGAGTTGGAAGAGGTTTGCGGTGAAGTGTTGGTGATGGGGGTGGAGGCCGTGCTGGGCGAGGTTGGAAGTGTCTGTGTTATAGAGCAGGTTGTTGAGAGGGGTAATTATGGGGTTGCGGAAGGTGCTAAGGAGGGATGCTGTCGGCCGGTAGAAGGTTGTGTCTGTGTAGACTGCGACGAAGGAAAAGAGGAGGCCAAAAAGAAGGAATGCTGCGAGCGAGAGTGGCCTGGTGCAGATGCGGGGTTAGTATATGTGTATTGGTTGATGAGGTGGAGATAAAGTGTATAGAGATTGTCATACTTGCGAATGAACTGAGGCAGCAATTGCAGGCCTGGGAATAAAAGGAAAGCCGGGAAGGTGATGCGGTTGAAGACGCCCAGCACGGCGATGAAGGCGAGCAGGGCGTTGGAGAAGAAGGACGTGTGTCGCTGGGAGTATAGTTAGTGTGAATTATGTGCTTTTAAGCTTCATCTCTCTCACCTTATTGTCAACAATGCGCCGAATCAGAACCAGCCCCCAGGCAACCAACAGGGTCTCGAGGCTGTTGGAGAATGTGTGCGTCTGATATGTCCAGGTGACATACGACGAGGCCACCAGCACCACCATCGCGCGCCGATGACGCGGGGAAGGCACTAGTTCATAGATCGCCCAGTCCTCCAGTACAAAACTCAACAGGAACATTCCACCGCGCAACGCATAGTAAACCAAGTGGGGTGGGGGGTTGCCCGACCCGGTCTCGGTATAGAACCATTTCAAGAGGCTCATTGGAAGCTCGTAGATCGCCCATAGTGGGAATATGCTGCGAATGGGATGTTCAACGGTGAACTCCCATGGTAGCTTCGAAGGAAATGAGAATGTGCGACCTGCATTTTGGTGATCTAGTCAATATTGTTTTCCCCTTCGTATAGGGGATCCGGCAGTCCCGCGACTTGCGCTGTTGTATTTTTCTTTTGGAAAAAATGGCAAAGATTTCCACGCGTTTGCGCAGTCGCGGTATGATTGCGACTAATCGGATGATAATTGGACAGTTAAACACACCTGCAAAAAGCTCTGGGCCTTGGAAATTCTCATCGGGATGTAGATAGCTCGGCGAGAGCGCGAAGTACACGCGAATCACCAATAATAGTAAATATGTTCGACGCCACATGGTTGAGCCAGGGACATTATTGAAAATAAAATGAATGTAAATAAAAAAGAGGAAAAGGAGTGGAAGGGAGCTAAGAGAAAAGTAAAGTAAACGCGTATTAGGCGATGATATCACTCGCGTTAAGCGGTAAACTGGAGCGGTGGGGATTATGCGAGAAATTCAGATCTACCTAATTGGATATTATACTCCGTATACATCAAAATCTTTGTTAATGTGATTGATATAACTGTTGATTCGTATACATCTCGCATACGGCGTACACAGTACCAATGTATCAATGTACGGAGTAACTCTAAGACAGTGCAGTTGATAGATCGACAATCTTCCAATGATATAACCCACATAGTTTGCCCAAAATGACCTAGTTGCAATTAAACACATCTTGTTTGAGCATCGGAGGTCGAACTTGATATATTTGAATAGCTTTGGCCGTCGTCAGTTCTGGCGCGGAGTTCAAGCCAGGGCTTGCAGGCAGCATCCTAGGTTTCCAACTGTTAGCCTTGAAGATAATAGGCTACTAGTACATTTCTGGACAGTTTCTGAGTTGAAGCAAACAATGAGTCAAAGATAATCTGTATATTTTAGGCAACTGTAGGAACTAAGGCGTGGGGGCTGATTTGGAGCCTTGTTGGCCTTATTCCCTATACCCGTCGACCGACCGCCTTTGATAACCCAGAACCTCTTTAAACCTCACCACCCGTCATCTACTCGTTACGTCCTCGTCAATTCAACTGTCGACAACTTTCTTCATACCAACTTTGAAGACCTGATTACTTGCACCCAATAAATCCACTACACTTTTATTGCACAGTAACGTCCCCACCACTCAACCACCCCGCACTATCCAAAGTGACTAACAAGGCTAATTTCACTGAACATTAGATTCCATCTTGAACGTCATTAAACATGAGCGCCATCACCCTTACCAGCTCCGATGGAGTGGATATCTCTGTTGGTAAGCAGCCTTTCCACGCAGGTTGCTACCGCGAGTGGCGCTAATAGTTTTTTGAACAGAGCGTACCACTGCTGAGCGCTCCGTCTTGATCAAGAACATGCTTGAGGATCTTGGCGACTCTGGAGAGGCTATTCCCATCCCCAACGTGAGTATATACCTGGAAAAAAAGGATCAACATCCAGGAGATATGCTTACACCTCTCTGTTAGGTTAACGAGGCCGTTCTCAAGAAGGTCATCGAGTGGTGCGAACACCACAAGAATGACCCTCCCAGCGCCAGCGATGACGACGACAACCGTCGCAAGACCACCGACATTGATGAGTGGGATCAGAAGTTCATGCAGGTGGATCAGGAGATGCTCTTCGAGATCATCCTCGTACGTTCCGTTTTCAGACTTACTCCAGGCGCATATACTGACTGCTCCTAGGCCGCCAACTACTTGGATATTAAGGCTCTCCTTGACGTCGGCTGCAAGACCGTCGCCAACATGATCAAGGGCAAGTCCCCAGAGGAGATCCGCAAGACCTTCAACATTCAAAACGACTTCACTCCCGAGGAGGAAGATCAGATCCGCCGCGAGAACGAGTGGGCTGAGGAGTAAGTTGCTACAACGGTATCCTTTGATAGAATCACGCTGACATTTCTACTCTAGCCGTTAAATGGTGGTTTTTTTGTCTGTTGTCCTTTCTAAAACAGGAAATGATATCCTCTCGGCTGTTTACACGATGTGCAGCATAGCCCTTATGTCTAGCAGGGTGATGATTTTTTGGGGCGTTTATTTTTGCTATTTTGCTACCATGGTTATTTCATATGATTTGCAAAAAATCACTAGCTTTGCCAATGGCATTGGGTACAAGTTCCTCCTGAACCAAGTAGCATTAGATAGCGGGGTCGTAAAACGGGCCCCTGCTCATATTTCTATGACGACAAATGCCAAGTTGTAAGAAACATCTAGCATATCTAAAACGCAGATCCAAGCATGTACTACAAAGCGTGATACGAATAGTAACACCACGATCAGGAACAGACGACATAGAAATGTCCCCCAGGCAATGCCCCAATCAAAATCTACAGCCATCATGAATATCCCAAAAGTAGGCAAAAGGACATTCAATTCGATTCAATCAGATTTTGTATCAAAAAAGAAAATCCCCCGCCTCACCAGTCCTACAAGCCCGCCCCCAGCAAGAAGACAATCAGCCCCCAACACCAACAAAACCTTTTGCAAACATAACCCGGGCCTGCCATCCATATCGAATAAATTAGGCGTGTTAAAAATCCATCATATCCCCACTCGGAACCGTGGAGGAATGACGACCCATTGGAAGATTAAGAAAAAAAAAAGATAGGCACAACCCAAGCAAGACCCGGATCAAGATTGAATTTTTGAATTTTTGTTTGCAATTGCACTCAAGAGTAGTTCCACATCCACTAGCGCTCTCAAGTTCATGGTGAAGGCATGTTGTTCGAAATTCGGTTGTGGGCGTCACATCATGAAAAGGGTTTCGAAATAATCAAAAACCCTTGAACCACCCCGCACAGACACACTTCGGTTGCCATATGACATCGCGAGCTGAACTGGGGCTTTTGAGAATGGCCGGACGGAGGGTTGCGAATACTGAGGGTCCGCTTAGACCTTCAGGGTCGACTTACGCCAGTGTCGGCGCTTGGCGTTGTATCTATTATTCAGATTGTAATCAGCCAATGTTCGATCCGGTTGCGTAATTCCTGTCTGTTCCTCCATTCGTGGGTTCGTGCGGTCGGCGGGTGGATGGTTATGTGTATTTGCCGTTCCTCTCGCGCGTTTCCGGATCACTCTTCCCACAAATGGCGGACTCGGATATAATGAATTTGAATCTCGAACGGTGCGATTTACCTGATGGTGTTGCCGGTGCGCAGACGGATCCACTGGGGGATGGGGCGGTTCTGACGCTGAGCTTTGGCAAGCTTTTGCTTGGTGCGGAAGGTCTTGTTGCTCTGTGTGGAAAATGACGGGTTAAAATTTTGTTTTTCAATTTTTCAGAGGTCTGACTGTGGAGGGGGACGGCGACGATGGCGAATGTATTTTTCGAGGATGGCGTGAATAGGGTGGTTAACATACCGGCATCTTGAAGGGTTGATCGCGACGGCGAGCTTGTTGGATGGACGGATGAAGTGGTCGACCTTCGGATGTGGATGGTTTGTGTGCGGCAGGGCTTGGCTTCGCTTCGGTTGGGTCAGGTGATGTGGGACTGTGGCCTGAGGCTGCAAGGCAAGAACAAATTACGTATCGGGCAAAGATCCGCAAAGTGGGTCTGGCTCTATAAGTGTCCATGTGCTGTACAATCTCATACAACTATACAGTCCAGTATACGATGTACATTCATCAATCCATCTTTTATACCAGTGCCTGTCTCGGATAGCTATCAAAATTATTATACAGTCGAGGTACTACACAACCGCAATGCCCTGTTTTTAGTACTATGTACAAAAGCAAGATAGCTTGGAGACCTTACTTTGGAAGCTCGTAAGCTGTGGATAAACCTGTCAAGGAACTAGCAATTCCCGTATGGACTTTCATAATTCATCATCAGCTATTTACATATCTGGAGCAATAGAACGATCATAGCACAGAGATAAGCAGATTCATAAAAGAGCTCACTAGGCTAATGCCGCAGTAATCAACCCATATGTAATAGAATCAAGTTGGTGTTCTTCCTCAGGAAACCGTGGATTAAGAGACAGAACTGCTTCATTGAAGCAAGTAAAAGCCTGCTGAGCCAATAGCGCAGCACTTTCAAATGCAGGGGGATATGCATCGGAATCTGCCCAGTCAATCAACCATACTTCTCCATTCTGGTCCAGGATCAGGATTCGAGGACTGATGTCGTGATGAGTAATGACAAATTTGCTAAATTGAAATGGTGGGATATCTTTAGGACATTTGTTCACGCGCTTACAGATCTCAAGCTTATGGTAAAACCAGCCTTGAAGTTCCGTAGTGTCTTTGAATGGACCGGCGCTATAATCTGTGAAGAACCGGCCACGGAATGGCCCACCACTGAGGGGACCAGGCTGCACAATTGTAACAGACTGCATCTCTTGATCATGTCAGCAACCTGCATAGCGATTTGCTGTTGTTTGTCGTGGGGTAGGCTGGTCCAACACTGATCGAGGGGTTGGCCTACGATGGAATCCATCACAATATATCCCTTTGTGGCGAAATTTGCGTCTTATCTTCGACTTGGAATGAGCGATGGACTCGTGGAGCTCGAATGCTGGTTTAAGAGGCAATGAGGTTGAGCATCTTTGCTTCGCACGGTAAGACACTGCCGCCGCATTTCATCACCAAATGCTGCGAGAGTCGTACAACTTTGTGTCGCCAAGGTCATGGAGCACAGGGGCAGACTCAAGAAGGGTTGACAGAGTTTCGTCTGTGACGGAATCAAGGTCCTTTCCGTTTAACGGGAAGTCTCCATCCGACTCACGGCTGTGGGGCTGTAAGTGAGACTGTCAGTAGAGTGCCCTGGAGTCCTTGGGTAACAGGTAGGCATCACATACATTGCAGATTGGACATAACAGTGGCACCATTGTAGCAGACGAGGGCGTAGGGGTGATTATTGTGGAGTCTCCCTGATTACCTGGGGAAAAGCTGAAGGTGACCTCCATCTTATGTAGATATGGAGCACGTGACAACCTTAAACATAATCAAAGATTTTTTAGTTACTTAAGTTTATTCACTTTTATGATGATTATACTAGTAAATGGTCAACTGCGACAGGAACCTCCAGTCACAGTTTGGATGGGCTTGACACCTTAGGCAAACTTCTGCCGATCGTCTTGGCAAACGTATGTATGTATATGTAGCCTATAGGTATGATCGAGGTACTACATATACTATAGCATGGATATTTGACTACAAAGTAAATGCTCCTCCACTTCACGTGTGAGACGCTTCCAAGATTACTATCTACATCGTAGCTAGCGGTAATAATCCCTGCAAGGCCTTCTATGTATATTTTCTTATCGCAGAAAAACTATCAGTGTAGGAGAAACTGATTTAGCACATTGAGTGCTCTTATATCAACATTGGATCCTGGAGTGCAATGACGGATTTTTGGTGGAAAGGCTCTCAATTATATGCCGTTTACAAGAGTGTTTTATGAGAATCCTAGTGTGGTCTCGTTATTATCTTGCTAACGTTGATTAGCTTGCAACTTGCTTTCTTGATGGTCAAACGTTTCCCTTTGCATCTGGAACAAGCCGAGTCTGAGCTTGCAAGGGGTTGGGACTTCCTATCAGGTTGCTACCACACACTAACTAGTGTCCTGTGCTCGCCCATTGCGCCCTGTTAACTAGCTCAGTCACTTTAATTTACATGCACGGCTCCTCTCCGCTGTCGTGGTTATGAGAATGAGTGTTTGGCCGGGGATCCTGGATCTTTGTAGACCACACCAGTTGATGTCAGCCTCTCTAGACGTAAGATGGTCACATTTTAGCCATATCACCGGGCTCTTTCCTTCGTAGGTCCTTCCCCTCGTAGGTTCCCTTAGATCACCTTCTCTTCAGATCACCTTCTCCTCATATCATCTTCTTCTCTGCTTCCAGTGTCGCACTTGAGTTGCACTTCCTGGTCAACTTTAAATCAGCTACTGCCTATCAGCTTGCCGTGAGTGAGAGTTACCCTGCTGTTCTTAGCCTGTGTCGATACTGATATCGATATACAGATTCGTCTTGATCACGCCGAACTTTCGCTTGGTTCACTTTGTTCCTGCATACCGTCAGGCCGAGATATTGGCTCTACCAGTACACTATGTTATCGCCGTGCCACATCGAAAGCAAGGTGGTACGAACCACTGGTGCTTCCACCTTGTGAAATCTTCTACAACATCCGTTCGGGTGGATTGTCAAACAAGTCACACTGAGCCGAGCTCTGTCCTTCAGGGAGGCTCCAAAGCCAACTTGGTGATTTTGAAATTGAAATATCTGTTTTCCAGGGGAGTCGAAGCGCGGTTCGAGCTTGATATCGTACCGGGGCTCTCAGTTGGGTACGTTTATGACCAAATTATCTAGCATGGACGTCACAGATACGAATTTGACATGAATGGCGTCGGGTGCAGATGCTGGACCACCGACCAGCTCAATCTCTTTTCTAAAATTCGACTCCTCACAAACGAATCCCAAGTTGCGGCAGCAAAGGCTGGGATCCTAAAGCTATGGCCCGAGCAAACGCCGCTCCCGCTTGATCAAGGCGCCTATTACCAGTGAGCATGGTATGTAAGGAATCTGTTCCCTTGGATATAAGCGGCCTTGGAGTAAGTACTTACTCTGATAGCAGTTAGCATGGCGTTGTGCTTCGTGGTCTCTCAAACGTGAAAGCTACCTTACCCGCCTGGATATCTTCTGATGGTTCTATTTTCGTGACCCTCCCGTGGCCTGGATTGTGCCATGGGCTGGTGTCTTTCTCCTAGTTTTAGCGGAGCGGAATGAATATCATGCCTCCCCTTTGAACTGTTCCTGCTACGGAGTGCCGAGCAAGCGTCCACGGATATTCTCAGTCATAGAAATTCATGGATAGGTAGACCTTCCAACCTTGGAAGCTTACTTCGGCACTCCATAAGCAGCCCTGGAGGTTGAAGCCCGCCCCGACCCGGCCCTATCTGTTCTGTACGACCTTTCGCGGCTGTCGCATTGCAGCAAGGCCCCTTGGAAGTTGGGGGCCTATTTTGTCATTTCATTCAGACTGTGGACTCTTTTATGATGCATATAGTTTTCGGAACACATTGTATCATAGAAACACATTCCAATAGTAAGGAAATAATAGCTGTGACTACATGAACCAAATTTGATATTTTGACCTTTCTGTCAATTAGAAAGCCCTCGAATGAGATCGAGGATGAAAAGTGCTCATGTAGTTTTGGAGACATGATATTGGTCTGAAACGATGAGCCTGGCTTTGAAGCCCGAAGGATAGAGCGCATAGCTCGGTTGACAATCCATTTCGGGATTTTCCTAGGGATCCACGAGGTCGAAGCATCCGTGCTTTAGATTTCTGTACAGGGCCAGGCAGCATTTTGGCTTCGACATACGTCTAGGCAGGTACGATATAGTACGCGTGGCAAGGTTCCAAAGAGGGTTGCCTAATCTATATATTATTATATCATCATAGACTAGGTAACTAGGTCTACGGGCATGGATCTTTAGAATTATCGAAATAAAATATGTTAGCTAGTTCCAAATTACTGCTAATTATTTCCTCTTCCGGCAAGCGAGAAACAAAGAAAAATATGATTTTGACCCCCAAAGGCCTGAGACAGTCAAAGCGTCGAAGCTCAGACATCGGACATCGGACATGAAACTGGCCGACGAATAAAATCGCATATAAAGTAGCGTATGTAATCTGTATAAAGGGTCGGGGTCCCGTTGGGGTTAAATATTACTTTAAAAACCTCTGACTCGGATCAAAATTCGGTCGAATTGGCATTGATCATGACTGGTTATGACTCAATCATCCGTGTTCGTGTTTTGCGTCATGATTCTTTCAAGGTAGATACGGTAGACGGACTCCGTGCGTTAGGCATAATAGGATTTGCATGCGCCAATCATACCGGACCTGCGTCAAGCAAACGGCCTTGAACGAGGGATGACATCGGGGAATGTAAGATAGGAATGTCAAAGAACAATCTCCATTTACTACATGTGTACTAGTACGGAGTAAGATCCAGAGAAATGTGCATAAGAGATGTCGGAGTTTGGGGTACCCGACACGGAGGAAAAAAAACCCCCATAAGTAAGAAGAAATCTAACAAGATCATTATTTAGACCCCCTTTGTTCTCGATCATTAATCTTTAATTTTCTTCTATCCCTTACTATTTCTTAATTATTTCTACCTCCTTCATTCATCTCTTCAAATCCCTTTTCAGACCCAATCCTCATTTTCAACCCATGTAAAGATCCAAACCCCCAAATCTCAATATGCAGCAGCCCGAGGAGGGTGTGACGGCCGTTGAAAAGGTGGTAGAGGACCCTCCGCTTAACGAGAAGCCCAGCGACAAGCGTGATTCCGACTCCGCTTCCACCTCAACAAAACACGAAACCAAGACTCCAGTCGCCGAAGACGATGATGCGCTCTATGCTCACTTGCCCGAGCATGAAAAGGATATCCTGAAACGACAGCTGGATGCGCCTCTCGTCAATATCTCCTACTTTGGTCTCTTCCGCTATGCCTCCCACACAGATATACTCATCCTGGTCGTTAGCGCACTCTGCGCCATCGCCGCCGGTGCTGCTTTGCCCCTCTTCACCATTCTCTTTGGTTCCTTAGCTACAGTTTTCCAAAAGGTGATGCTGCGTACCATCTCCTACGATGATTTCTACAGCCAGTTGGTCAAGAATGTCTTGTACTTTATCTACCTCGGTATCGGAGAGTTCGTCACCATCTACGTCAGCACCGTTGGCTTCATCTACGCCGGAGAGCATGTCACTCAGAAGATTCGAGAGCACTACCTCGAAGCTATCCTGCGCCAGAACATCGCCTACTTCGACAAGCTTGGTGCAGGTGAAGTCACTACCCGTATCACAGCCGACACCAACCTCATCCAGGATGGTGTCTCCGAAAAGGTCGGCTTGACCTTAACTGCCGTCGCCACTTTCGTGACTGCTTTCATCATCGCATACATCAAGTATGCCCCCTTGGCCGGTATATGTACTTCCACTATGGTGGCGCTGGTCTTGATCATGGGTGGAGGTTCCAGATTGATCATCAAGTACGGCAAGCTTTCCCTGGAAAGCGCCGGTGCCGGTGGAACTGTCGCAGAGGAAGTCATCAGCTCGATCCGCAATGCGACCGCATTCGGGACTCAGGACAAGCTTGCGAATCAGTACGAGTCTCACTTGCTTCACGCAGAGCGCTGGGGTATGCGCCTGCAAATGAGTCTCGCCGTGATGGTCGGTGTCATGTTCGGACTCATGTTCATGAACTACGGCCTCGGATTCTGGATGGGCTCCCAATTCCTGGTGCAGGGTAAGGTGGATGTCGGACACGTTTTGACCATCTTGATGGCTATTCTTATCGGATCTTTCTCCCTGGGCAATGTCAGCCCCAACGCCTCGGCTTTTACTAATGCGGTGGCTGCCGCTACCAAGATCTTTGCGACCATCGACCGTGTATCCCCGCTAGACCCTACTTCCGATGAAGGCATCATCCTGGACCACGTCGAGGGTCACATCGAGTTCCGCAATGTGAAACACATCTATCCCTCCCGTCCCGAAGTTACAATCATGCAGGACGTTTCCCTCACCATGCCTGCTGGTAAGGCTACCGCATTGGTCGGCCCTTCAGGCTCTGGCAAGAGTACTGTCGTCGGTCTCGTCGAGCGGTTCTATCTTCCCGTTGGTGGTCAGGTGTTCTTGGACGGCCATGACATCCAGACTCTCAACCTGCGATGGCTTCGCCAGCAGATCTCGCTGGTCAGCCAGGAACCTGTTCTGTTCGGCACAACCATCTACCAGAACATTCGCCACGGTCTGATTGGAACACGCTTCGAGCATGAGTCCGAGGAAAAGATCAAGGAGCTCATTGAGAATGCCGCCAAGATGGCCAATGCTCACGACTTTGTTATTGCTCTCCCCGAAGGTTACGAAACCAACGTCGGCCAGCGTGGATTCT